CGCGTCGTGCCACGGCCCGTCTCCGTGGAGACGCGGACCAGGGACTCCTTGAGCTGCGCCAAGCGGGCGTCGCCGTCGTAGTCGACGATGACGAGGTCGCCCGCGCGGAAGAGGAGCGTCCGCCGGTCGCCGCCGCGGCCCGCGTCGGCGAGCGGCGCGTCGTCGAGCGCGAGCTGGCGAGCGCGCACCTCTTGGTCCGCGACGCCGGCGGAAATCGGCGCCCAGCGCGCGTCGACGTAGGCGCCCGGTCCCTCCATGCCGCGGGCTTTGGGCGGCGCCTGGCGCTTCCCTTTGAGCCGCTCCGCGACGCCCCGCATGAGCGCGGCGTCCGCGACGGCGGTCTTCCGCTCCGCCTTCGCCTCCTTCGAGCGCCCGCGGCGGCCGGCCTTCTGGAGCGTGTAAATCTCCGTCGCGGCGCGCGCGCCGTCGCAGCTGTAGTGGTCCCTGCGGGGGCCGGGGCGCGTCGAGCGCGAGCGATGGGTTTTCCGCGGACGCGGGCGCGTGCCTCGACGCCGGGGAGGTCATGTAGGAGAAGCCGCAGGGGTTCCTTCGCTTCATGTCCTCGTGGATCGCCTTGGACCGCGCGAGCAGGTACTGGAGCACGTAGGGCATCGGCCACCTGAACGTTTCCATGGTCTGCCAATCACGCGCCGCGCGCCGCGCGAGGAGCGCCGGGAAGGAGACGCCGCGCCGCGCAGCGCCCGCATGGTAGAGAAAAACTTCTCGTTCCTGGGGGTCCCGAACACGGCGGCGCGGACCTCGCGCGCGACGTGCGCGGGGACGCCGAGCGCCGCGAGCGTCGTGATGACGCGCTCGTAGAAGCCGATTTTGCAGGACACGCACGCCCGCACACAGGCCGAGACGTTCCCCACGGGGCCCTGCGCGTCGGCGCCGCGTCGTCCCGTCACCACGTAGTTCTGGTGGTGGAGCTCGCATAAGAGCTCGTCGAGGGCCCGCGTCGCCTTCACGGCGTCCGCGAGGGACGTCGTGTGCGCCGCGGCGTCGGCGGTGTGCTCGAAGGAGCAGGCCCACGACGCGACGGTGGACATGACGCGGTGGACCCACGGATAAATGTCCGTAAGGAGCCTTAGCTGCCCGGCCGCGGTCTCCGCGAAGACGATGGACTCGCCCACTTGACAACAGAACGTCGGCCCCTGGAGCGCGCAGGCCGTCGCCCTGCCGCCGATGCTCAACGCGCCGCGCTTCTGCGTGCCCGCGATCCAAAAGACAATCAGGAGCCCCTCTTCTGACGATAAGAGCATCTCATCATCAGTATCATCTGTACTGATGGAATCAAGGTTTGGCGGTCGAGCATGGGGCATCAGACTGGGTTTCGGCGTTGTTGGCGTTGCTGTCGTGGGGGCTGCTGTTGGAGTCTTGGTCAAAGTGGGCTTTAAGCTCGCCGAGGGGACACTCGTCGGACGGGGGTCCGGGCAACGACAGTTGGCACATGTGCACCCAAGTTCTTGGAGATTCTCGCATGTGGTGTCTTCATATGCCAAGATCAGATCAAAGCAGGTATTGTGATAACACTCGGGCTTACACGCATCCACACTTGGGCTATGAGTGTTTGTGGGCGTAAAGGTCACTGTCGGGCTTTTAGAAACGCTCGGACTAGGTGACGGGTTTGGCGAAATTGAGGGCGGTGTGCTGAGAGAAGGCTGTGAGGTACATTGCCCCATGGACACGGCTCCTTGCGATAGACCAATGAGCCCTGATGTCGGGACTTCTCCATAAAATTTGTCATCAAAAACGAAGCGAAACCCCGCAGCATCTAGTTGGGACCCCCCTCCAAAGCGAAAATCGTAGCATCCATCATCAATGCAGACACTGTCTTCCTTATAGAACCCATCATCAAAGGTGTATGTGAGGAATAAATAGTCAGATTTGATATCAAGGACATTATCGTTCCATCCATTGCCCAGTATGCTAAGAGATTCCAGATGGTAGCAAGTGGTAGCTCTAGGCGTCGGTTCTGGTGTCAAAGTTGGGCCTGGTGTCGAGGTTGGATGCCGAGTTGGAACATTGCTCAAGCTGGGCGGCCGTGAACATGCATTCTCTAAAATTTTCCCTCCACTCAGCTGGACTGTAATTTCACCATATGCAGTGCCTGATACTGTATCGAAGGGGTCTTCGATCATGGTCAGAGTCCAGTCAATTTGATCCAGATTTCCATACGGGTTACCCCCGACCTTGACACGATAGCAGCCATCATCAGCGCAAACATACCTCTCGCTGAAAGATCCATCCGCGAGAGTCAACGTGCCAGAGATAATGGTATTGCCCAACTCGTCCACAAAGTGATACTGATTACCAGACCAACCGTCTCCGGTGTAATCAAAAAGTTCAAGCTTGTAGTGGGAACAGCCCCAGCCAAAAGATGTGCAAAACGACAGTAAGACAATGCTCAGATATGCTCTCATGGAAACCTTCGAGGTGCGAACTGATTAATATGGCGAATCACTAATGTCCGTATAGGTTCAATTTGCTTTATCTTATCATCGAATAGAGAGATAGAGAGACTTCTAACCTAAGCGGTTGGAGGTGGAGAGCCTCCGATCCCATTAGTCCTCCGGGCTAGAGTAGGGAGTCTTACCTAGTTATTACCATACCCTAGTCCTAGAGCTCATTCTAACCCTCGGACGGAA